AATTATTTTTTTCTCTTCTTGCGGTTTTCACAGAACGTTAGGGATTGGAAGGGACCTTGAAAGATCGTCTAGTCCAACCCCCCCTGCCAGAGCAGGACCACCGAGAGTAGGGTTCTCTTCCCGTTGACCTTGCTTTGCCCATTTCATCTGCCCTGTATGCTGCCAGACTTGCTCCTCACTATTTCACTTTCCTAAAACTAAAGGACCGCTGTCGTCCACTTCAAGATCTGTGTCTTAGAAACTTCATTTCCTTCACTTTTAATTATCGATTCGGTGCTCACAGACTTCCCCAGCCCCATCCCTGCCCCTCAGGGCTTCCTGGTGCTCTGCCATGGCCGTGCCTTTCCCTGGCTGATGTCCCCTGTCCCTTTCTCTCCTCCCTGGGTGTCTCTTGTCTCTGTCTCCACAACTGCTGCCCAGCTTCATCAATAATGAGCGAGACTTCAGTCGCTTATTTTGTCAGCCATTTTCTAGCAATGATTGCAGGTAGGGAGAAATCTGTCTTTTGGCTCTTGCTATTTATCCTAAAAAATGAATTAAAACAAGAAATTGAAATGCTACTTTAGCTTCTGAAGATTTTGTACCTGGTTTAGCATTGCCGTTTCCCACCTCTGCTCATCTGATGCTCAGGTGGTTTTGTGAAGTGGGGAGACAGAAGGAGATGCACCCAGTTTGAATCGCTTGGATTTAAGGCGCGGTAAAAAATGAAATATTGCTGCATGCCCTCACAGTTTGGGATTCTCTACCGCTGAAAATCTGCCATGCTAAATGTCCTAAGAAGGATAAGATCAACTCTTTGAATATTGCTTTTAGCTGAGCTTATTTGTAACCCTTTCAGACTAGGTAGCACCTTAAGAGGTGGCACAACAGGGCTGTTGCTATCACAAGCATTACGTACCCTGTATGCAGAATTTTCTCAAATATTCAGACTGTCTCCCCTGGTTTAACACTTTTATGTTACTGATTAACTTGTAAAAACCGTAGGGTTTAATTTTTTTTTTTTTTTTTTTAAATAGACTGCATTTATTGTGCCTCTTTGACCAAGTCCCATCTCTTTTCCACAACTCTTCTACTTTCTAATTGCATAGCTAGATGTGTCTTCCTCCAAATCCGAAATAACTGCGGTTATCACCACGTGTGATAAGTTTACATACACTTAAAAAATTAAACTTAAGTTACAAAAGACCTTATGGGTCTTTTACTGAATTTCACTCCCAATTCAGGAGATGAATATACATTGAATAATGTAAAGGGCCAAATCCTACTATTTCTTTTATTTTTTTTACAATGTGTTTTCCATCACTGGTGAAGGATATGGGTATCCTGCAGCCCCAGGGAATGACTCCAGTTTAGGTGGTCACCGTGCACTCTCCTTCCAGTTCCAGCAGTGGGTAAGGCTCGAGGGCTTGAGGCTGAATTCACAACATCCCTGAAGGGTGTTTGGAAGCCTGTTGCCATTGATTGTATAGAGGAGCATCATCGTAGTGCTGCAAAGTTGCTTTTTTAAATCGTTTTGGGCTGAAAAGAGGGATGTCAAGTCATCAATTAATCCTGACAGCATCCTTCTGTGGTGAAAAAATAATACACCCATTTTACAAACAGAAAATCTAAGGCAGAGCTAATGGAGGCTCAATGCTGGTGCTGCTGCTACCACCACCCTCCCAATCCCCACTTCAAGGGCAGTCTTAAAAGTTTTATTTCAGATTACAACTGGAAATCACTAAATCGGGCTGAACCCTGGGCCACGTTCCCATACCCAGACCACTAAACCTTTGCCAGTTCTTAAGAGAGACTTCAAATGTCGCTCTTAAAATGTGTTTTAGACTCAAAAATTAAAAAGCCTGGAGTAATCCTGGGTAAAAAATTTTTAATGTGCAGTTATCTAAACGCGGAGATTGGATGTCTCCAACAGCAGTGCTCTCAAATCTGGGTATAGCTATGGTGCTTACGTCTGGTTTGTAGCATTTGCAGCTTGGTCATTCTGATGTTTTAATGTTCTTACGATGAAATTTAGAGCATCTTCTTACCATGCCCGGTTCTTATTTTTGCCTCACCAGATGCATATCAAGTCAAGTGAAAATACAAGAGCATTTCAAATACCTGAACTGAACAACAAAGGCAGACCATAGAATCACATTAGCTTAATTTTTCCCCAAACATGATATCTTAGAAGAAAAGTTTGCATTTTAATATCAGGCTTTTATGCAGCTTTGCAGTTCTTCTTAAGGAAATGGCATATATATAATTAATACCGTTTAATAAAGCTCAAAAATGCAACAGATGCAGCCAAAAGTGCACGTCATTTTGAGCAGATCTTTACAGAACAGACATTCCATATTGTGTTCATCTTTTTCCACGATCACTGCTATGACAATCTGGTGTGTTTAGCAGTTGTTGCTGAGTAAGGCAGACTGGATTGTATATGATTTTCTCCATGTCAGCCAAGAAACAGAGCGCTCTCCTGTTTGATGCGGTAAAGAGGTGGTCTTGTGCTATTTGTTGCTTTCTAGCAGGAGCAGCTTTACCTTTGCTAACTTGCAGGAGTGATCATACGTTGCAGTCTGTAGGTGCACGTGCTGGAAGCTTTCTGTGGGTCTTCACTGAAAAGAAAATGATTGTGGTGAGGAGAAGTCACAGGAATTGAGTAAGGTGACCTCCCAAATAGAAAAGCTACAAGAGCCACAAAATGTGCCGTTAAAATCTCTGAGCATCCCATAAAAGCAAAATATTTTAAAAGGGGATAGGCAGGAGGATCACCTACAGCAGAAAACCCATAAGAGAGGCTCCGTGCAGAGGAAACGTTTCCCCTCTCAGCATTCCTTCTGGGTGCCAAATTTTCCTTCTGTTCTTCCCCACCTATTAAACAAAGCTGCAACTTCCAATTCCTATCAGTTTTCCTAAATATGTGCAGCTTATGTGGCTTCGACGAGCTGTAAGGCTCCGTATTCTCCTGCCAGCTCCTTGACAGTGTGGCTCCAACAGCATCCTCCACTTTTGGCTGCCTCTGGGACCCCTGGTCTCTTCTGGAAAGGGAGAGGGAAAGCATATCCTTTGCTGGAAGGACTTTTTGTGACTGCGGAGCCGATAGCGGGGCTGTGAAGCGCTTGGAAAGATCCCTGTAAGCGTCGTGGCTCTGTCTGGCGAGGCTGCCTGCTCTGTGTTGCGGGGATGTTCCGGTCCACCTCGGGATAAGCTGGGCAGAGCTCAGCAGCAGATCCCAGGCTGGGATCACAGGGATCCCTTGTGAAGCACCCACAAGAGCCTGCCCAGGGGAAACTGAGGCCGACAGGGAACATTATGCTGAATTACACTGACTCCCAGCATTCAAAGCTGTTTTCCTTGCAGACTTGCACATTTCTGATAGAGATGTTCCCTTCCAGCCAAGTCTGAATCCTGGATTGTAATCCCACTTCAGGTCTTTCAGTTGGGCATTTGGAGGGAATGAAAATGCTGGCAACGTGTTTGTGCACATAATTTACCTGCCAGAAGCAGGTGGCTGTTTTAAGGGTAGGGGTGCAAGCAAACCCACAGGCGGTTGGTTCTGGGATCTTTGCAACTGGAAGAAATCCTCTCCCCGAGCCAGTGCTCGTATCCACTTTGGTTGCTGGAACCACCGTGAAAACTCCTGGTTCACAGATGTGAAACAAATTACGAAGCTTATGCAGTTGCATTCCTCCTTATTATTGGGAACAAAATAAATCTGGGAGATGGAGGACTTCTTAAAGTAATTATTGTCTGGCTTTATTTTAAGAAAATGCAACTAATTCTGAAAAACTCCACAATTCCCGAAGATTTCTCGGCCTAGGGAAGTCACATTAATTATAAGATTAATTTGTTTTAATTCCCTAAACCAAAAATATTGACTGAATGAGAAATTAACACATGTAGAGCTGCAGATGTCATTTGGCTTCAGATTTCCCGAATGATATAATTATTAATCTTTCATATAGCAGTGTGACAAACCTACAGATTCAGTCTACAAAATTAGTCTGTGAAGAAAGACACCAGGACAGCTGAGCTATAGATTTGCCCTTAATACAGGAAGGAAAACAGTGGAATTTTCTAAATAATAAATAAAACCAAAATATTTTAAAGACATATGGCGCACATCTGTCTGAAATACAATAATTTAAAGCAGAGTAATTAAATGCAAGATATAATATTCACCTTAGGGTGGGGGAATTACCTCATTTCATTTTTAATATAACTTACTGAATTTGGGAAATTTAGATCATCTGTGGTATCTTTTGAACCTTTCCTTCTGTGCTAGTAAAGGAGACAGATTAGCAAATTGGCTTTTCATTTTCTTTTTGGGTAACCAACCTTGTGTTTCAAAGCATTGAGTGTCATACCCGTACAAACCTTTAATATTAGCTTCAGCTGAAATTATAAATAAGTACAGCTTGCTTATTTTCTGTTCTAACTTCCAGTTAACTCCTTAAAAGTCTAAAGGTAGCAAATGCCTCGTGTTAGTGTATTCCTTTCTTCCTTACCTAAAGCACTGAATGGATCAGAAGCTTTACATTAGCACAGCAGGGATTCATAAAATTCCAGTTTGGGAAATCCTATGAGTTTTGATTAACCTGTTCCTCCTGAAAAAGGGGAAAAACTGTTACGGAGATTGTCTACGTAATTTTTGACAGGGAAAAAAATAATTTAAAAAAAATTTTTTTTCGACTTTATTCTGTTTTTAGCATGGTGTTGCCTGCAGCTAGGTGAGATATTACTCAGATCTTCTCACTTTCAGAGTTGGTAATTTGAAGAGTAAAGACATCTTTTGAAGACAGGGAAGAGAGATAAGAATCTGATAAAACTGAGTTTTGGTCCCGAGTGCTGGGTTGAGGAAAATATTCAACTATGCGGTGTAAGCAAAGAGGGAAATTGAGCTGAAGACATTTAGTTCCCCCAAAGTACAATTTAAGAGAAATACTGTTCTGATAAACAAAACCAAACAATTCCACAAGTAAACGTTAATGATGCTAAGCTCTTTTTGTTTTAAGGGAACATGACAAAGATCCTGAAACTTTCTTTAAAGTCCTGCTGGAACTGAAAGAGAAAGATCTACCTTTTCGTGTGTCTGTCCTTGGAGAGGCTTTCACTGAAATTCCAGGTACCTTTCTTTATTTTTTCCTTTATTATAAAGTTACCATAAAATAAAAATGTTTCCAGAAGTAGTTTTCACGTACATATTTTCTTATATGAGTGAACGAACACGATTAAAATCTTCATAGTTGTAAAACTAAATAATATTATGATGTAAAATTAAAATTATTAAAGGCAGTAAGCATTTTTTATTTTACATGGCAGTGCGAGACCTTATTTACGACTTGTGTTTCAGTAATACTTCGATATTTATCTAAACAGGTAGGTGAGAGCGATTGGGTGGTTTGGATAGGAAGCAAAATCTTTCAGATCGAGGTCACTCATCTGAAGTCCAGACTGAGATTTTAGCAGGTAAAAACACTTAGTTCCCTTTCAAACGTAAGGTTAAGGACTTCTGTGGAGAGCTTCTGGTTAGTGTCTGGCATGAAAGTGGTCATTAATCTTTAATATTTTTATACCGCTCTTTTGCACCCTCCTTCCGTTTCTTGGTTTCTGACAACCACTACTCTGTTTTATGTATTTGAAAAAGAAATAGGTTTTATTCTGAATACACACAGCTTTGTGCCTGAGATATTGTGGCCATGAAGAGAATAATCAAATCTTATACTGGGTGCACTTGCAGTAAATTAAACCTTTTAAAAATATCCATTAGCGACGAGTGAGCTTCAAAATACCCGATGTTTTAGCTCATACATGTTTTCCAAAACGTAGGTTTGCATCCCTCCACCTCTTTGGTTTGCAAAAATAGACTTGGGATTAGTTTGTCAGTTCTGTCGTATCTGTTGCCTGCTG